CAAAAAATCATGTTCTGCCATGCAATTTTTGTTACACTTACGTAATAAGTATTTACATTGCAACTAATATAGATATACATTTTCGCGCCTAATGTTCTACGATTTGTATTAAGGTAAACAATGAGAAGGAATTTTCGGAATATCAAACTGCCTCTGCCTCTCAAATTACTTCTACATACGAGTACTGACACCGCCTCAAACGAAGCGCTGGAAATTCGAATTTACCATTTCAAATTCGTTTTTAATTTACATACAAAATACTCGCTGTTTTAAAAAAACGAACATGACCTAATTGGAAAATTTTTTTTATGAACACATTTCATTGAGAGGAATAAAATTTTTGGTTGTAGGAAGACGCCGAAGAAATTTTGAATTTTTTCAGTGTTTGAAAAAATTAAGAGTTTTAACCAACATGACCTGCACCATTCTCTTAAACATGCTTCAGACTATCCAACAACAAAATTTAATAAAATCGATGGAATCACTTTTGAGAAAAAAAATGTTTAAACAAAATTAAATATTGCATATATTTCACGCAAAATTATGTGAACATAAATCAACTTTTCAAAAAATTGTACAAAACCTTATTTCAAATCTATCTTTAAGGAACAGATTTTATTAAGGGGAAAATCTTTAATATTTTAGTTGTAGGAAAAAGCCGAAAAAATTGAATTTTTGCAATTGTCGAAAAATCAGTTTTTTTTAACAGACATGAAACCTGGGCCATTCTCTTAAACGGCCTCCAGACTACCCAACAAAAAAAAAAAAAAATCAATCAGAATCGATGGCCCCATTTTTTTGAAAATCTCATGGGCTATATATAAAGGACCCCCCAAAATTAAAATATCGATTTCAAATTCAAGGGGCCGCGACATCAGCCAGATTGATTGGGGAATATCAGTTTTGGAGAAAATCGGCTGAACGGTTTAGCCACTAGCGTTATTAACAGACAGACCGACGGACAGATGTTTTCGCGTTAATCGATTTTTCTGTATCAATGACCCATAAAGCACGTGTTAGAGGATTTTTTTCTCTCTCTAAATTTAGCAACTGGATTGATCCACTTTTTCGTTTCCAGGTCCCTGTAATATGAGGGATTCTTTTATTTATTATTATTATTATTATTTTTTTTTTTTACGGAAATTCGCCATTTATTGGCGCAGCATTATATTACTTTCTCTTCTTAAGTTCGTTCTTAAGCACGAGGAAGTAAAAATATTTTAAAATCTAGGACATCATCCTTAAATTTGTGCGATTTGACGTGAAATGACACATGATATATGAAAACCAGGGTCTTTAAATCTACCCGTTGCTGACGGAACGATCATCTTCCAAAATATAAAACCAATTTTCCAATTAAAATGTAAATTGATTCACAAGGCGCCGTATTTCTTTGTACATACATTTATTTGTTGTTAATTACAGATAGGAGTTAGTGAGTAAGGGAGGTTAAGTGGGGGGCCGTTTTCGCCGTAACATCCAGGCATATTTTACATGCCAACGGCGACCATCGATCCTAAAAGAAAATCTTGTACACTCAAAACGTAGGCAATTTCATCCTCTTTCATTTCAATTTGGGTTAATATTTACGAAAAATTGATAGTTTTCCAGTTATATTAATATAAAGTGGGTTAATTCCCGTTTTCCCATGTTTCGCTTATATCACCAAATTTCGCGATTAATAAGAGAAAAAATCTTAATGGCATTAATTGTAGGTAATTTAATTTTTTATTTCATATAGGATATTTGTTGCTAAACATGTAT